AGTCTTGGTGTCATCCTCGACACCACTCTCTCCTTCACTTCACACATCAACAACGTCACTCGGTCTGCCTATTTCCATCTCAGAAATATTAACCGTCTCCGCCCTTCTCTCACACCCCGCTCCACAGCTATCCTTGTTCACAGTCTTGTGACTTCTCGGATTGACTACTGCAACTCCCTTCTTTATGGCCTCCCCAACAAATCTCTCCAGAAGCTACAATTGGTCCAGAACTCAGCTGCCCGTGTCATCACTCAAACCTCCTCCTATAACCACATCACTCCTGTCCTGCAGCAGCTCCACTGGCTCCCGGTTAAATCACGCATCATCTTCAAAATTCTTCTTCTCACTTTTAAAGCTATCCACAACCTTTCCCCTCCGTGCCTATCTGACCTCCTACACATCTCCATCCCCTCTCGCTCTCTCAGATCCTCATCTTCACTACACCTCCATGTACCCTCTGCCCGCCTCTCCACCATGGGGAGCAGGGCCTTCACCTGCTCTGCCCCTCATCTCTGGAACTCTCTACCCCCTGACTTAAGAAACACCACCTCTCTTTCTATATTCAAGACTGCTCTGAAAACACATCTCTTTAGACTTGCTTATCCTTAACTCTGCTCTATGTATTTTATATTCTTTACGCATTTTATATTCTGTATGTATTGTATATTCTTTACGCATTTTATATTCTGTATGTATTTTATATTCTTTATGTATTTTATATTCTTTATTCCTGTTGATCTTTGTTCTTACTGTAAAGTGTCCTTGGGTGTCATGAAAGGCGCTTTTTAAATAAAATGATTATTATTATTATTATTATTATTAACCTTTTTTGTTGTAGTTTTATTATTGTTATTTTAGCAAAATTCTGCTTTTAAAACATCAAAAAAACACAAGTTTACAATAAAATATTAATATGAAGCTGACTTTCATTGTAAAACATTTTAAAAGTAAATTCAGTCTTTTTCAAAGACTTTGGTGTAATTACAGCAGTGACCACCAGAGGGCAGCAAAGAAACATTGTTACAATGAAGAAAGTTTAAACAGGATGCATCTAACTGATTGAGTTTACAAACTTTTTTTTTTTTTTTTTAAACAGGAAGTCAAACTTTCAGTTCTGGTTTGTCTTACAAAATTTAAATCGCACAAAATGAACAGATAAATCAATTTACTTTAAAACAACTGAAGATCAATGGAAGTTCTTTCTGTCAGCGCTGCAAAATTAAATTGATTTTTATCACAATGCAACATGAAATATTTATATTTCAAAAAGTATTTTTTCTGCTTTAACATAATATATACGTGTGATGTTCTAATAATAAATTGAACACAGCACATTGTTCAAACATTAAAGTGTGATTGTTTGAAGGTGATGATGTAAAGTGAGGATGAGGAAACAGAAGAAGCAGAAACAGTCCAGTCAGAGTGTCTGCATACAAGCTGCTGCTGCTGCTCCAACCTCTGTGGATCATCAGGACGCGGCTCATCTTCTCCCACAAACACACCATCATGTTCAGACTCTTCAAAATTAAGGTAATCTCCATCTGTAGAGAGAAGAAGCAGCAGCAGAAGAGATAAATGAGTCTTTCAGAGAGACCAACACAAACTTCAATCACAACACATTGTGCAGCATCTTTGGGTAAAACTTAGTAACTGTTGGGAGTCAACCCTGCTTGTCTGTTAGCAAAATATTTCATAAACCACTGGATGGACTTTATTTAAACTTGCAGTAAATAAATCTGAAACGCTCACCTTCAACTGATTAACTTTTGGAGTCAACACAATTCAAGATGGCTGCCACAGCTAATTAAATTGAGCCTAGACATAAATATCTGTAACTCAGTGAATTTGACAGATCCTGATGTAAAATGTGGTGTGGTAGTAGCTGACAGTCATTCAACATCCTCCAAGCACTAACAGATCAGCTGAGACATCACATGATCACATGACGTGTTATTTTGGTGAGTGATCTGCATTCCTTCAAGTAACGCTCGCTCTTTCCTTCTTTTCTTGTCTTTCTGTTTGATCCTGAAACCAGTGCCTGTTCTCCGCTCATACATTCATTCAGAAATACAGTTACTGGAAAGCTGCAGGTTTACTGGAAACACTGGATCTTTGCTTTGACAACAACCGGCTTTAGTCCAATTCTGCTGAAAGCAGCAGGAACGACTCCGACCTTCTACTGACCTCAGAGTCTGCAGTCTGTAGTCTAGACTCTGCGCAAGATCCAACAGCTGCTGAACATCTGGATCCTGCAGGTTGTTGTGACTCAGGTCCAGTTGTATCAGATGGGAGGGGTTGGACTTCAGGGCTGAACTCAGAGAAGAACAGCTGATCTTTGACAAACTGCATCTGATCAATCTGAATAAAGAACAAAACATGTAAGTTTAGAA